GGGATGTGTAGGGGGGTTACACACGTGCGCGGACCCTGCAGAGGCTGACCCGCTCCAGGGGATGTGTAGGGGGCTGCACACGTGCGCGGACCCTGCAGAGGCTGACCCGCTCCGGGGGATGTGTAGGGAGGCTACACACGTGCGCGGACCCTGCAGAGGCTGACCCGCTCCGGGGGATGTGTAGGGGGGCTACACACGTGCGCGGACCCTGCAGAGGACGGTGACCTGTGCAGGGAAGGGGCCACAGGCCCGGTGACCGCTGCCTACACTGGCCTGCAGCCTGCAGTGACTTCTGTCAGCTCTGGGGGGACTTTACCCAGAGGGCAGGCTGGTCCCTCCCAAGGACAGGGCCTCCATCCATCCCCCCCTGTGCCTCCCACAAGCTTTCAAGTTCCTCAAGGGGGTGCTGGCAGCCCCCGGCCCCAACTGTGGAGTCCCTCCAGTTTGAGTCTCGCTGGTCCCATGGCTCTTGTTGGACCCTGCAGCCAGAGTTGGGAGCAGGTGCTGCGGGTCACAGGCCTCCCTCGGACTCCAGCTCTGCTCAGGCAGCCCCCCTCCCATGTGACCAGGAGGCAAGGTCCCCGCTGGGCCAAGCTAACGGTGGTGACCCCGTTCTCCTGGCCAATGACGCTCACACTCAGGACGTGAGCAATTCCAGTTGATGAAGCCAGTCCTGCTGGGTAGGTGGGTGGGTGGGTCCACAGGGAAGCTGCACTTTCTGTCTCATGAGGACACACATGGGAAGACATGGCCCCTGTCCCCTTGGGTATGAGCCTGGATCACATGGCCAGCCCACTGACCAGGAGGGGGACAAGCCCCCAGGACAGACCAGACAGACGCTTGGAAAGGTCCAGCATCGTTGATGGAAGTGCCCACATGACCCACTTCTTGAACCTATCACTCTTTAGGGACCAACAGGAGCCACGGTGACACGGAAGCCGCCCTGCCAGGACAGGGAGGCCTCCCCGAGAGCAGCAGCCCCTGCAGCATCAGGTGCCGCCAGAGCCGCCCTCCCACCCCCAGGCCAGGCGCGGGGTGGACCCAGGTCCCGCGCTGCACCAAGCTGCCTGCAGGCTGGTTTGGGGGTCTCCTCTCCCCGGGGTTGCTACTTCTCTGCTGGCACAGTCGCTCTGGTGTGCCACTTCCAGTTCAGCTCAGAGCCAGCTTCCCACCCTCTGGGGCCCGGCTCGGTGAGACCCTGGCTGTCTGCAGCCTGTCCAGCCCCAACCCCCCCATTCTGGGCATTGGGAATGGCGGCCACCTCCAGCCAGGGCTGTCCCCGTCATGCTCACCCTGTTCTTGCGACTGCTCACGGTGTCCCTCTGTGAGAAGGAAGGAAACCGGTCCCGGGAAGGTGGCTTCAGGCTGAGTTGGCTCTGGATGCTGTGGGTAGGAGAGGGAGCATGGGGCTGTGAGGCCTGACCTGCTCGGGGCCCCGTTTCCAACCCCAGGGCCTCGGAGCACAGCAAGGAAGGAGAACTGCCACTTGGTGACATTGCTTCTGGAGGGACGGAGCACTGCACGGGCGGGTGGGACGAAGGATTTGTGGCCTAGCACATATCTCTCTGGGCCCCCGGGGGGCCCCTCGCTGTACCTGGGCTCCCACCAGGGTTGGGGGCGCTGAAGATGCAAATGGGAATGCAGAGCAGTGGGCAGCACGCAGGTGGCCTCCTGCACTGGTGGGAAACAGGACGGCGGGCTTGGCTGCCAAGTGGACGCAGCCTGAACCCCACTGGGCTCGACTGTTTCTACAACATTCTCCGTGCTCCGCGGCTGCTCAGAAACAGCCTGCCCCCAGAGGCTGCTTCAGGCCCGTCTGCGGTGCTGTGGTCAGGGAGGGCCCCCCCCAGGGCCGCACAGCCCTCCCCACCCCCACAGCAGCTCAGGTGGCCTTCCCTCGGGGGGACCGCAGTGCTGGGCCCCGTGGTGCCCACGGGCCCACGGGCCCACATCCCCCGCCCCACCCCCAGGCCGCTCCAGCTACGAGGGTGGCTCCGTACCCACACAAGCGCCGGGCCCTGAGCCTGCCGGGCACACAGCTGCGAGCAGGCTGGGGAGCGATGAGAGCCACAGACAGCAGAGAAGCACCGTGGGCAGAGCGCTCCTTTCCCTCCCTCCCCAGAGAGGCCCACCGACTCCACAGGAGGACCCGGGGGCAGGCCGGCCGCCCCGCCAGCTCACCTCGTCTCCTCCTGGCCACAGCCCAGCGTGTCCTGCCGGGTCTCAGCAGTGGTGTCCATGGCGCTCAGGGCGTAGGACAGCGCAGGCCTGCCATTCCCCGTGCCCTGTCCGCTGGGGGCTGTGACCTCCTCCCCCTCCATCAGAGCACGGGACAGCTCCTCCTCGGTCACGGCTTCAGAGCGGGGGGGATGACAGTATCAGAGCGGACTCGCCCCCACAGAAGCTCCCCCTCCCCCCCCCGTCCCCGGGCCGTGGCTCTGCCTTCGATGCCACGCCCGGCACAGTCTGCCGGAGACAGGAGGGGTGTGTCTCCGCCCCACCGGCCAGCCCCTCGAGAGCAGGGCCGGGTCCTGTCACCTCCCTGTCTTGGCCCGAGCTGCATATGAATCTCAATTCCAGCCCCTGCTACAAGCAAGTGTTCGTAAGAAGCCAAATTAAGGTCAGCGTTAAAAAGGAACAGAGTACACAGTATGAGTCTGTTTCACTCCCCCGTGGCTTAATTTCTCTGCGCTAACTTATATGACACTTGTTTTCTGGGGGAAAGAACTGTGCACGCATGACCAGGGCCAAGAACTGGCGCAGCAATGCCAGTAGCCTCGCAGAACCCGGCAGAGACCCTGGAGAACGGGTGGGGAAGGAGCGGGTCAGAGCCGCAGGGAGGACCCTCAGGCCTCCAGCAGGAAGAGGCAAGCAGCGGGGGGACCAGTGCTGGGTAGGCGGGGGACCACGGGCGTGCCTCACCTGCCGCGGGGCCCCAGGGGCCAGCATGGACGTGGCCAGCCCGCTGGGACCCTGTCACTCGCTCGCCAGGCCACTCGGGTAAGTGTCTGGAGCAGAGTTCTGAGCAGGAACAAAGCAGCAGAAGCAACGGTGTGCCCAGGCAGGAGGTGGGTGAAGCGTGCGTGAGGCCCACCTGCGATCCCACACTCTGCATGGGGCCGCACCCGGGGGGTCGGGCCCACTCAGACTTGCGAAACGAGGAGGAGCAGCCTGGGGGACTCCCCCCGAGACCACAGGAAGGGGGCCCCTGCTGCGTCTGGAAGGACTGGGCACGTGCAGGTGCCGGGCGGTGCGACACCCACCCTGGTTGTCCAGCTTCTGCAGGTGCGGCAGGTTGCGCAGGACGGTCATGCGGTAGAGGTGGGGGTCGGTGCCGCAGCACGGGTTCTCTGCCAGCCAGAGCACGCGCAGGCGCGGCAGGCCCTTCAGGTAGAAGAGCTCTGCCAGGCTGGGGATGCAGTTCTTCCGCAGGTAGAGCTCGCTCAGCTGCTGGCACCGGCTCACGGGCTCCAGGGTGGAGACGCTGTTGACGCTGCACAGGGACGGCACGGTTAGCGCCCCGCTCGCGGAGGGCGGCGCCCCTCCACGCTCCTCTCGGGTCCGCTGCCAACACCAGGCGAGAGCAGCCCCGGGGTCGGGCCCATCTGCCCTCGCCTTGGAAGGAGGTCAAAAGTGGACAGCGTGAGTCAGGTTCAACAAACACCCCAGGCCAAGGAGAAAGCGTAAGGATGGGACCCTCAGGCTGGACAGATGAGCAGCAGTGAGCAACACCCTGGCCTCCTGCTCAGTGCAGGCCTCCTGGAGTCAGCTGGGGGGTCAGAGGTCTCACTTTCCCTCACAGGACAGGAAACCGGCCACCAAGGAACGTCTCTGTGCCCCAAAGTAGGCAGCGGCCAGAAAAACCCACAGCAAACACAAGCAAGCTCCGAGTGACAGAGAACCGAGCACCCAACTTCCCAAATCCCACGCCTAAGGAAGAAACAGAGTATGTGGGTTTACGTTTTGTTCCTCAGAATTGTGAACACATCAGAGACAGAAAATCACCCAAGCCTCTGGGCAGAGACCCTACAGGCTTGCACGGACACAAGCAGAAACCTTCCCACCTCCACAGGAGCGGATGGCCCACGAACACGCACTGGGCTTAGGAGCAGGCGCCCAGGACTGCGAGCCTGGCGGCAGCACCATGCAAACTCCTCTGCAGCTCTGGGGCCACTGCCGCTCCCTGCATGTGGAGGGCACGGGGGAGGCTTCTCCAAGGCACACTGCCCCAGGGGCCAGGCCTATCTAGAACATTCTTTGCTGGAGGCTGCACTGGTGTGGGCAGCGATGGCCTAATTCGTCCCTAAGACAACACTGCAGTGGTGGCCCCACTTACTAATGGGGTTGCCAGCATGGAGCGCTGCGCTCAGCGTATGGCCTGCTCCACTCGAGAGCCAGGAGTGCAGCGGTCGCCACTGCACCCTGAGCAGGACTCAGGGTTTGCCATCTCCAAGTCTGAGGAAGCTGTCCGAGGCACAGGCCAGGGTGTAACATGAAGATCCGAATCTGTACCCCGGCCTGCTGCCCTACGGGACCACTGGGCTAACTGTGGTTGTATTGAGTATTTGTGCCCCCCAAACTCCTATGCTGAAACCTAACCCCTAAGGTGATGGGGTTCGGAGGGGACCGGTGCCCTCATGAAAGAGCGCCCTGAGCCCCCTTCCCCCTCCCCAGTGCGAGGACCCAGCTAGAAGAGGGCCTCCCCAGACACTGAAAATGCCAACACCACCTTGGACTTGCAGCTCCAGAGGCACGACACACGGTGTCTATCGTCCGCAAGCCGCCTGGTCTACGGGATTCTGTTCCAGCAGCCAGAACAGACTAGACAGCCCGCCTCCACGCGCGGCTGAGACCAAAGGGAGGTGACTGCCCTCCAGGAAAGGACTTGCACCCTGCATTCACGCAGCGATTTACACTCGGGTTCCAACGCGGCCAGCCACGCAGACTGGGCACCTGAGCTCAGTCAACAACCTGGGCCCCCCGTCCTTTCTCTGAGCTGTGAGCACGACACATCCTGCAGCACAGGGAGGCCCGGCAGCTTGCCCCATATCACTCCAGGCAGGGTAGAGCTAGGGTTTGAGCCACACCTATTTTCAGGAATGAAAGGCAATCCATTCATTCATCAGGGAAGGCTCTCCGGGCTCAAAACGCAGCCTCACTGGTAACAAGTCAGCGACACAGATATCTGGTGCACGAACGCTCCCCGAGCACTCGGTTTTCCTGCCTGCGCTCACTCCTCACTGCCCCCACGCGGGCAGATGCCGGTATCAGGTCCGTATTACACAGAGGGAAACTGAGGCCCAGAGATGCTGAGCCTCCCTGAGGCTCCCAAGGGGGCAGGAGGGAGTCAGGGGCAGAGGGCAATGCTCCCTCCCCCGACCCTCCAAACTGCCCAACCGCCAGAAATCCCAGCAGCTACGTTTGGTTCGTCCACGGCCTCCCGAGTCTGTTAAGATGCCAATGCCCCCGGAAGGGGTGGCTATCAAAATGAGAGAGCACGTGACACAGAGACACTGGCAGAGCTCCTGGCAGCAACAGAACCAGACGGCAGAAACGGTGGGGGCGCTGGTGGCAGACGTGACGGCGGCTGCTCACCGTGCGGGGTGGGGGCTGTGCCCATGACCACAGGGAGGGCGGGCAAGGACACAGCAGCGTGCTCGGGGGGGACGGGCAGGCAGAGCTCGGAGGGGGCTTGTGCTGCCCGGCTGCCCCGCGCACAGAGGCGGCCGTCGCAGACACGCTCTCGCTGGGAGTTTTCAGGTTATCTAAAGGCATGTGGAGGTTCTCCTTCTTTCGAGCCCCGTGACTCAGAGCACAGCAGGCGTGTAGGTACCTGAGGGTGATCACCTCCAGGCTGGGCATCTCCCGGCAGATGGAGACCTAGGAAGGAAAGGACGCTGATGGGGCACAGGCCGCTGGGCACTCCCCGCGAGCCCAGAGCAGACCCGCGATGCGCCACACTCTGCGCCGCCGCCACAGCCGAAGCGGAGCCATGCCCCGGCCTCACTGGGGCTGGCACATGACGCGCGAGAGCGTGCAGGCTCTGCCTCATACTCCGTGTACTGCATTGCCCTCGGGTTCCCTACACCCAAGGGAGAAACACGCACGCTCTCTCTCGCCGCCGTCAAACGCGGCCACCATCCCTACCCTTCGGTGCCCGCAGAAGACATCGGGTAAGGGGACCTCTGTGGCCCCTACGCTGGACAGAGAACCTCTGTCTTGCTGTCCCTGCGGCACAAGGAGAGGGCTTGGCCAACAAAGCTGGGCCAAAAGGGAGACAGGATTGAGACTGGATCTCATGCCATTTTAATACTGTCAATTCAGGAGAAAAGAGCAGCAGGGTGCTCGGCTTGGTCCACAACGGCTCCCTAACCTGTGAGGCCGACGGGCGGGGCAGTCCTCAAGTGTCTTTGCACTTGCCATGCGCCAGGCACGGAGCCAGATGACGCCCTTGACCTCAACAGGCCTACGGTCTGCTCAGAATGCTTCACATGTGCAGTGGATTTGCTTTCTGCTACGGTGGTATTTTTGTTTTTTTAGGGTTGTTTTTGGCTGCTTGGATATGCTGCATTTCAGTTATAGCGTGAGGTGGACTCAACTTTTCTGGATAACCCACTGTCTCAGCAGCATTTCTGACTCTGTTTTCAAGGAAAGGTACAGTTCAAGTGACAAAACTAAGTAAGAAAGAAAAGACAGGTACATGATCCCTGTGTAAGTCAGGGACATTCATTCTAGGAGAGAGAGAAAGGGAAAGAAATCTGTTCACAGACCCATGGCTCAGCTCAGGGCACGGCTCCCTGACCCCCACCCTGGGCCCCATCCCCTCCTGGCATGGCCTGGAGCGGGGAGCACAACACTGGATCCCACCGAGAGCAGGAGCTGAAGTGAGCAACCTCCTCAGTGACTCACAGCCCAGGAACCCCTGAAAAGAGCCTCCCGGCAGAGTGCACGTCTAAAGTGCAGCAAAGCCCTCTGACGTTCATCCGCAGCCGAACTTTGGATCTGCTCCCTCCTCCGTGAGAGGTGGCACATGGAGACTTCCACTGACAGGAGAACACTTAAAGGAATTTCAAAATAAAGCTGGGCACTTGGAACATCTCTTTCCTTAGTCGTTCCACATTACGAAAGCTGCTAAATGAACCAAGTACCAGATTAGGGGCTGAATGGATGTGTGCAGTTCTGTAAATTCAGCGATCCTCCTGGGGAACAGGATACAACTTTTGGGATCAGAGAGCATTTGGAGATGATCGGCATAATACTTACATCTGTGAGGCGGCTGCCCCTAGGGGAAAAAAAAGACATACATACTTTAATTTTGGTAAAGTTGAGTAAAAAAATATTAGAAACAAAAATTCCAAAAATTAATGACAAATGTCTACAAGCTAAAATTCTACGATGTCAGTGACAAAGTCAGGGACAGCCTGTCCAGACGACGGACAAAGGTGTCAGAACTTGTTGCGGGGCTATCTGCAACAAAACTCTCTATGCTCAGTGCTTGAGGGGCGCTTCTCAGACTGAGGAGCAGGAGAGCCACTGCACTTGGAGGGCACAAAGATCCATTCATTCTCCAGGCTGTGGCAAGGCAGGACAATGTCCCTCACTGATGTCAGTAAACAAGCAAGTCCTTGTGAGGGGCCCAGTTCAAAGGCTGTGGAACGTGCAGCTCATGAAACAAACGCTGGAGAGCCGGAATCAGGGCCCTTGTCTTCCCCTGCTCAGACAAAGCCTGGCCACCTCATGCAAAACAAAGCGGGGCGTTATTGGGAACAAGAGACAGGGCCGAATGTCAGAAGTGCCACAGGCAGAGCTCACTGCAGTCAATCTGTGACACTTCCCAGGAGGAAGGCGGACTGGGGGCCGAGTTCCTCCCGCCCCAGCTCCACTGCCCAGTGTGTCCAGGCGTGCGTGAAGCCCCGCCTGTAGGTCTTTCAGGAGTTCCTGAAGCGTGTCTGTCCTTCCTGGGCCCAGCCAGACCTGGCCACCCCACCTTGGAGCCTGCACTGACCCCACAGCTCCTGTATCATGTCCTGTGTCACCTCCCAGACCGTGAGGCACCTGGGGACAGCCCCTCCCAACAGGACTCAGTTACAGAAATGTTTCCCGAATCGTTACTCTGGAGCCTCAGCTCTCTATCTTTCCCACTAGGAACGTGTTAATCCCCTCCGTCTCGGGACACGCCTGGGTGGCTCAGTCGGTTAAGCGTCTGCCTTCGGCTCAGGTCATGATCCCAGGGTCCTGGGTTCGAGTCCCACATCAGGCTCCCTGCTCAGCAAGAGGCCTGCTGCTCCCCCTGCTTGTGCGCTCTCTCTCTCTCTCTCTCTCTCTCTCTGGCAAATAAATAAATAAAATCTTAAAAAAAAAAAAAAGAGCTGCTTTAAAAAAAAAAATCCCCTCCGTCTCCCACCTTGTTAGTCGACTTGGCTCCCAATGACCCACAATGTGAGAAAACAGTCCCTTCCCGAAGGGAACCGTTTGCCCCACTAATGCTATCTAGAAGGCCGACAAGACTTGAAGGCAATTCCAATTGTTTTGAGAAAAGCTAGCACGTTTGGAGCCTGCGTCTGAAACACCACAACCCAGAGGGGGTAAAAATTCTGGAAGGATCTTTGGCAATGGCCACCTGGGCTTGTGGCAGTTCCCCCCGCAGGCTGTGGGGCCCGGGCACCTGCTCCCTTCCACCCCGAATCGCCCTGTGGCTCCTCCGCAGGCCCTTCCCGCCCCCGGCCAGGGCGGAGGTGCGGGTCCGGGGCCGCTCCGCCCGGGCGCGGGGGCTGGCAGCGCGGAGGGCGCGCGGGGACGGCCCCAGCCTCTGGGTCCTCACCAGCAGTTGAGCTTCCGCACACTGTGCAGCTCCGAGGCCTTGGCCCGGGACAGGACCATCTTCCGAGTCAGCTTCATGGCGGAGGGCCGCCGGGAACCCAGATGCGGCCCGGCCCTGCCCCGGACCCACCGCCCGCTAGCCGGGGGGCTCTCGGCTCCGCGGCTGCCGTCTCCAGGGGGCGGGGCCCCGTCGCCAGGGGCGGGTCCTGCGAGCCCATTGGTCACCCCCGTGAGGGGGCGGTGCGGCGCGAGCGCAGTGAGGCCATCCACCTTGCGCTCCGGACGTTGGCTCCGCCCCGGCCTGCCCCGCCCCGCCCCTCGGGCTGTGCGCCCGGTGCGGCGCATGTGCGGCTTGGGGATACGGCCTGTGACGCATTTCTGCTGCGACCGGTGGAGGAGCTTCTTCATGACCGAGCCCCAAGCCCCCGAACCCCGGAGCCCCCGGGGCCCCCATCCCGGAGCCCCCGAGCCCCCGAGCCCCCGAGCCCCCACCCCCCCACCCCCGAGCCCCCAAGGCCCCCATCCCGGAGCCCCCGAGCCCTCGAGCCCTCAACCCCGCCATCCCCGAGCCCCCAAGGCTCCCAGCCCGGAGCTCCGAGCCGCCGAACCCCCGATCCCTCGAGCCTCCGAGTCTCCGCAGTCCCGAGCTTTCAAGCCCCGATCCCTCGAGGACCCCAGCCCCCATCCCGGAGCCCCCGAGAGCCCAGACCCCCAAGCCTGGAGGATAGAGATGACAGTTTCTTGACTCCCTGAACAACTGCTATTTAAACTGTTGAAATAAGAAATCGGGGACAGTCGTGGGGCTGTGCGGAGTCCCTCCCTCCCCTTGAGCATTTAAGGAAAGGTGGCCTTTCAAGGGTTAAGCCTTTTGTTTTTTTTATTTTTAAAGATTTTATTTATTTATTTGACGGAGAGAGACGCAGCGAGAGAGGGAACACAAGCGGGGGAGCGGGAGGGGGAGAAGCAGGCTTCCCGCCGAGCAGGGAGCCGGAGGCGGGGCTCGATCCCAGGACCCCGGGACCATGACCTGAGCCGAAGGCAGACGCTCAACGACTGAGCCACCCAGGCGCCCCGTGTTAAGCCTTTTAGAAATCAGAGATTACCAGGGGTGCAGGTTACGTTGGCCGGCATTTGGGATCTCAGAGCTGGGGTAGGTGACAGGACCCCACTTGAGTCATCGTCTAAGGCCTCTTTTTCACCAAGCCGCTGTCCTGCCTGTGACCTGCCCACAGCCCCGTCTCGGCAAAGCCTGTCACCCCCACCCCTGATGTCTGATCACCCCCATCAGCTGACTAAGTTCTTCATCCCCCAGGTAGGGTCTGATCATCTTAGCCTGCGAGACCCCCTACCCATGATGTCTCAGTACGTTTCCGCCCACTGGCCCCCGACTCTGCTCCTTGGCTGTAAGCCCCTCTTGTGTCCTCTTTGTATTTGGAGTCGAGGCCAGCCTCTCTCCCTTACTGCAATAGTCTTGAATGAAGTCTTCCCTACTGTTTTAAGGAGTGTCAGAATAATGTTTTCTGGAACAGAGGTCAGACAGACGTTGCTTTCCCAGGGTCCCTGAGACATGTGGAGGGCCGGCCTGGACAAGGGCCCTGTGGCATATGGTGAGAGGTGAGACGCCGTGGGAGAGAGCCGAATCGTACTGCAGGATCCCCCATCCCGCTCAGCCCTGCTGCTAGTATTACAAAGGCAACATGGGGGATCCCACAAAGAGGAAAGCCTTCCCACAGTAGTTTAACAACTGCTGCTGCTTTGGGTTGTGTCCTTGTGCCGTGTTTTGCCGGGCCACGGCGTGCCATGAGTGGTTTATCAGTCAGGTTCTTGCCTTGAGCGCTCTCACCGAGGCATGGGGGAGGTGGCCCCCAAAACGGTGTGTGAGTCTCCGCAGGCAACAGAGAACTTTGGTGTTCTTTGAGGAGAAAGAAGGCTCACCAACAGTGGCAGTGAGAGCTCTCAAACGGACAGTGGTTTTAGTAGCAGCCCCTGGGGACCTGTCCAGGTCTCAGGGCAGGACAGAACACCTCTCGTGCGGGAATCCTGCAGTCACAAGAAGCCAAGGTTTGGGTAGTGGCCTGCAGGGGCACTGTGGGTCCATCCCATGGAAGAAACAGTTCAGGAATAGGGTGGCCGGAAGGCTGGGGAATGAGGGAGGGTGCTCAGGGTGGCCATGGTTGAGTCAGTGTAAGATTTGGGAGCATAGGGGGGTTTCAGAGCAGCACATTCTGAGTTCTTAGCCTTCAAGTGGGCAGAGGGTGATCTAACCAATGAGGCTCGACCTAAGAAAGGCAGACGTGAGCTCAGCCTCACTGAGAGTGGCAGGAAGATTCCAGGAGGCCCAGGCTATGGGAGCTTGCAGAGAGGGCTTCTGGCTGTCCCAACCTGAGAGCCACCAGGTGACAGGGATAAAGTAGGGGCTGCCAGGACTGTGAAGAGCAGGCTGGCCCAAGAGGTGGTGTAGAAGCATCCGGAGAGTCTGCCCAAGCTGTGGATGACAGTGCCACCAGCAGACAGAAGCAGACATCTGCAGAAATTCGTTCTGGGGAAGACTGAGCAGGCTTGTGACGGGGCATTGTATGTCGTGGCTGTGGGCCAGTGGCTGACAGGAAGGGGGCTTGGGAGTTGCTGGCCCTGCTGGACCCCACCTGGCTGAGATGGCCCCTCCCCCTCCTACCTGGACCGCTATGGTCCAGGCAAAAGGACCAGCCCAGGTGGGGTGTGAGCCATGCCAGGGAGGGCTGTGGGACAGACCCCAGCTCTCAGGACAGGGCTGCACCTGGAGGGTTTTCTGTAGGTAATGGGGGTGATGGGGGAAAGAGGTGTGGAGACCCTGCGGGTCTGCCTGGAATAGGTCAAGGCCCTCGGGTTCGGGTGTGTGGATCTCCCCTGCACCAATCACCGGGGAACAGGAGCACTTGTCCCTGTGTCCAGGCAGCCTCTGGCAGGAACCCTCTCAGCCGAAGGCGAGGAGCGGCACCTGTTGGGCACCCACACGTGGGGAAGGGGGACAGCTGTGCTTCCAGCTCTCTAGCTTCTGGGGGCCTCTGCAGCCCCTACCTCCTCTATTTGGCTGTTCAAGAGGGTGGCTGGGGTGTGAGCCAGTTGAAGGTCCTGGTGACTCAGATGACACTTGTAAGGTGAGGATTCTTTGGTGAGTTAAGCGTGGTGATTTGGGTTGTGTCACTGTGCAATGCCAGAAGTCCCTTCCCTGTGTAGCTCGAGGCAGGACTTGACTCCAGGACGTTCGCATGCGCTTTGGAAGGTGGCAGAGGAGTAGTGAAGGCCATCCTGGGCAGAAATGGAGAGATGGGTGGATGCAGAAGGGTGGGGTTGGGGGGACAGGGGTCTTCCCTGCAGTGTGTCCTCTTCCCGAGGGTGGCTCTACCGCATCCCTTGTTGCAGACTCAACGGTGGCAGGGGTCTGAAGGGGCCTCTCCATCCGACCCCCTTGTGGTCCCGCTTGCAGAACTGGACCTGCCCAGCTCCCCAGCTCCCCTGCCAGCTCCCTCCTCGGCACCTGCCTCCCTGCCTGGGGAGGGCTGCTTATTGCCCCCCTCCCTCGCATTTCTCCAGCTTCTCCTGGATTTCCACGTCCCTAGTTCCCTTCCACAATTGTGTAAAGTTGTAACACTATTCATATTGCACCATGCTCATAGGGCTTTTGCTTCTTGGAATGAACCCTGGCAGGCAGAAATGCAACACAAACTTGCTTAACCCAAAAATGGAACTTTGGTTCATGTGACTGAGAAGCCAAGGGGCGTGGCTTCAAGCGTGGCTGGATCCAGGGCCTCAGTCTTCGTTGTCGGGGCCCGGTGTCTACTCACCCTCCCAGCCTTCAGTTGCCCGCGTCGGATGCTGTCTACTCTCTGCTCAAGTCCAGAAGCAAGAAAGCTTTTTCCCAGTGACTCCGGTGCATGTTTGGGGATTGGCCTGGCACCACCCCATGCCACCACGAATCCGGTGCTGCGGCCGGCTCTGAAAGGCGGGGACTGCTGGCCGGAGCCACATGCCCGAGGTGGGTGATGGGAGAGGGGGAGGGGAGATGACCCAGAAGAACATCCGAGAAAAAGAGCACCCGCTGCTTCGGCTGCTGGCTGCTGTGGGAAAGATGACAGCGCGAACACACCTTGCGTTTGGCTGGCCGCCACATCTTGCCTCGTGTCCCTGCGCACACTTCCTTATTCCCGGGGAAACTCCCCGCTCTCAGCCCTCTGGGGCTCTGCTCATAGGGTGGCCCTGTGGCTGGTGCCCTGGGGTTGTCCTGGTGGCCCTGTGGCTACAAGAGGACAGTCTCCTTTCTTCTCGTTCTAGCCGAGCTGAGTCCCAAACTTCATTTCCGCCAGTACCCGTGTGCCAGACCCGCGTGCCACCCCCCGCAGAACGCCCGCAAGCTGCCTTTCTGGTACGGACGGCGTCAGCGCCTCCTCCTTAGGGCTCTTGGAAGCCGTGGGGCTGGAGGGGGGAGGGGAGGGGCCTCCAGGGGCTTGGGAGTGCGGTCATCTCTCTACCTGGGTCCTGGGACCCTGGGCAGTTCTGGGGATGGCGCTCCTCCAGCAGGGGTGATCGGGACCCAGGGAAGGGGCCTGCTCGCCTCCCTACAGCCTGCAGGCCCAGAACTCATCCGGGGCCTGCCCCACAGCGGGCCTACCCTCAGGGTAGGGACTGAGGCGCAGGGGAAAGTTTGGGGCGCTTGGGCTGGACAGTGGGGCAGAGGGGAAGGTCCTGGGGTTGGGGGGGAACGTCCTCCAGGCGTGAGCTCTGCTTCTCCAATGACAGCAGAAACTGTCACTTGCTAACAAGGGGACCCCAGGGTGCACAGTCCCCAGGCCTGCCTGCCCTCCTCCCGCCAGGGTCTCCTTTGGGGACTCGTCCCCTCTGTGTTTCAGCGACTCTGCCTCCAGACTGCTCTCAGCAGAGACCCTCCCAGGAACCGGCGCTCTGCGGGGGAGCTGCCCAGCCCCAGGGCATGGACCCTGGCCTATCACTGGTGGGGGGTCCCGGGGCAGGCCCCTGGGGCTCAGGTGCACAGCTGGAGGGCCACCGGCCTCAGGGCTCCCTGTGGGCCCCGCTCCCCGGAGAGCACCGGACGTGGCCTGCCTGTAGCTGCTGGCTCGGTCTCCCTGAGGCGGCTGTTCAGCACCCCTGCTGGGGGAGTCACCCGCTGGTGTGGGGGTGGCTGCCTCTCACTGCCAGGAGTACTGCTGAGGGCAACGAGCCACCTCTGTGCTCTCCTCAGTGTGCCGGGAGGGGGACTGCACACTGGGCCCACTGGCCATGCTGTTCTGCCCACGCACAGCCTGGGCGATGACCCGGACCGGCCCCAGCCTTCCCTCTATCCGCCACCCCCACCCCCGCGCTCCGCCATCGAACCTTTCCACCTGTATCAGTTATCCATGGCTGCATAACAAACAGCCTCGAATGTAGCAGCTCACCACAGTAGACATTAGCGTCTCACCGGTCCCGGGGGGCGGGCATCTGTGAGCCGCTGGGCCGGGCGCCTGGCTTGGGGCCTCTGCGGAGGTCAAGCTGTTGGCCGGGGCTGCCGTCTCTGGTGACTCGAGTGGGGTTTTCCAACCTTGTTCACGACGCTGTGGGCAGGAAGCTTCATTATTACCACACAGCCTCTGGGGAGTGAGTGATGAGGGAGGGGGAGAAATTCAACACAAGCTCAGGGACAGAAGCCTGGGCGCTGCAGTCCATCACCTTGGAGGCGACCCGCCGTCCCACATGCACAGGGGGCAGCACGGCAGGACCAGTGGGGGCCACCTGGAGCCGCTGCCCCACACCAGGCCCTGCCCTCAGCTCTGCATGGCTTCTGGGATCCTAAGCTGGGGGTGCCCTGAGTCACCCCACCAAGACACTCCTGTGGGAAGGGGCTTCTCCCCGGCTTCTGTGCGCTGGGGCCACGGCCCTCAGGTGTCAGGCTCCTTAGGGTGGCCTTCCAGGGGCTAACTCCATCCAGTGACGGACTGATCAACGTGGGGCATAAAGGCCTAGCTCCTCACTCGACTCCCGGGCCTCTGGGGTGCAGGCAGCCTGCTGTGTGGGCCATATGACCTGGCCAGACCCCCGGTGCTGGAGGTCTGGTGGGGGATAAGCCTCAATAGGAAAATCACCATGCAGACCCCACAGTGTTTGGAGCAAGGCACTGTGCCACCTGAGTGGGCGCCATCCATGCTTTGGAAGCCCTGGTAGACACCACGTGACCAGGCGGCCAGCCCCATCGTGCCTGGCTGTGCATGAGGCCCAAGGGGGACCAGCCCCCCGCACGGAGCACCTGCCTCTCTCCTCTGTGGGGGAAGGGAAGAACACTGACATTAGAGCATGGTGGAATCATGACTGGAGTGGCCTGATGCTCTGGTGGGGGCCCAAGGGGAGGAAGACTGGAAAACCAGGGACCAGGGGATTGGGAAGAGGCACTGGCAGTGGGCGGCAGAGTGGAGATCCTCATGCCCCCCGTTAAGGCCCATCAGGGACATCCACCATGGATGAGGTGCTGGACAGCTCGGGAGGGAAATTCCTTGGCCGGTTGGCATCCATCAGTGTCCATCCTGAGCCCGCTATGGGCTGCCGGTGGATCAGGAAGGGCATGGCCACGGAGGCCCAGACAGAGGCCACGCACCACGGCATCGCTCAAAGGACCAGGACGGCAGTGCCTTCCCACAGAGTGGGCACATTCTGGCTCTGGGCTTGCCCTTCCTGCCTGCGGCGCCTTGGCCAGCACCACAGTCTGAGGCCCATGGTGGTTTGACCCACCAGCACAGGGCCCCAAACGACGTCGTGTTAGACCAAGGGACCTGCTTCCCTGCCCGAGGCCCTTCCTGGTCTGGGCCCTGCTTTTGCTGCCCTCATCTCTTGCGGTACTCCCTTGGCTCTGCTGGCCTTGGTGGCCTTCCTGTTGTCCTCCAACACACAGACTTGAGTTCACCTCAGGGCCTTTGCACCTGCTCTCCCCTGACCTTGACCCCTCCTTGTTCTCCAGCTCCTGCCCAGCTGAGTTCCTCAGTGTTCACGACACAGAACCTAAAGTTGTTGGTGCCATTCTGCCCGTGGAGACCTGAGCTTCTGTCCTCCCGGAGCCCTCGCCCCTCAACAGGTTCTGGGCACGGTAAGGCTTCGGGAAATGCCTGGGGATGGGCTGACCAAGATGAACGCTGGGCCTGCAGGTGCCTTTGGACCCGGCCGGCGGTCCTTGGGGTGGTCCTTAGTTTCCCTGAGTCACAGGTCCCTCGTCAGGGAATATGGGCAGGAGAAGGTTTCCTGGCACGTCGCGTTGTGAGGACGGCAAACAGGTGTGCGGAGCGCGATGTGGCACTTGCCAAGGAGGGTGCACACAAGCAAATAAACCTCGCTGACCCCTCTGCTTGGAGGGTGCCCCCGGCCGGCACTGAGAGAGCTCAGGAAGGACAGGCCGCCGCATGTTTCACGTCCCCGCAGCAAACCACAGAACACACCTGCAGTGGGAAGAGTGGCCCGTGTGTGTTCATCTCATGCAGTGACCTGAGGGGTCATTTCCAGCTCTGTCCCCATCACTGTTTGCTTGGAAACGTGCTACCAGCTCTGGCTCTTGGGGCAGGCCTGCAGAGACCAGGGCGGGCCGTGCCCTTTAGTCGCAGAGTATCTGCGTGCGCGCCATGTGGCTCCCACTTCACCTTCACATCTCATGGGGAGTCCCTTTCCATGAGCCGTTTCGGAATGCAGCTGATCTGTTGACCTCAGACATGAAGAGATGAAGGAAAACAACGGTGTCCCCAGCATGAAGCCCACCTCTCCCGGGGCTTGCTCTAGACCAGGGGTCCGAAAACACAGCCGCTGCGGGTTTTTATAAAGTGTTATTGGCACCCAGCCACACCCATCCATTTCCCTGTGGCCCAGTGGCTGCTTTCTGGCTGCAGGGCCACCGCTGAGCAGTCAGGAGGAGATCCTGGGCCCGAAAGGCCTGAAGTATTTACCATGTGGCCGGACAGAAGTTTGCAGCCCCTGCGCTAGACCCTGGCCGTGCTGCCCCCCCACCCCTCGGAACCACCCCAGGAGCCAGCAGCCGAGCTGCTCTACTCCTGTGTATTATTCATGACCGGAGTGTGCTGATGCCAAGCGGTCAGATTGCTCCCTTTTTCACGGATTGCGGTTTTCTTTTTGCTGCTAGAGCTTTTTATCTCGGGCATGTTGTCCATGTCGGAAAAAGTCCTCTGCTTTGCATTTCCTTTATCTGAACTTGAGACAACACGCAATTGACATCAGTACTTGCTGTCTTCCTGCTTTATGGTCAAATGCCTTTTTATTTTTATGGGAAGGATGTTTCATAAGTGCTCTTGCAATGGCGTCCTGGCAGATGGAATGTGGCCTTCTTGTGAAATGTGTGGTTTCTCTTTAGAAGGGAAGGAACCACATGGGGGACAGTGTGAGCACAGATGCCGGGTCAGCAGCCTGTTTCGTGAACAACTTCCCCTCAGCCGACGTGCCCACGGAGGCCCTGGGATATACTTGGAAGCAAAAGGCAGTCCGCCGTGCCACCCGCCAGAGCTCTGCAGTTGTTACCGTGTCATGACATATTAACACGCGCACACGCACACATGCACGCACACACCGTGTGCTTTTTGTCAATGAGGTGGCTCTCAGGCCTGAAGGCAGCCCAGGGAAGGAGCGCTGGGCGGGGGCCTGGACACAGCCGCACGCGCTGGCGGGTCTCTGCTTCCTTGGCCGGTTACCCGGGGCCTAAGACCCCTGTCCAGGGTGGCGGCAGCTCCTGTGGTGGGCACCTGTCGAATGCCCGAGCCGGTGGACTCAGAGTGCCACAGTTGACAGGTGGGCTGGCCTCCTGCAGGTGAGAGTCTGCAGTGGTCCTGCTCTCTGCCTCCGTGGTGCTCACTGCTTCAGAGGAGGGCTCCAGACACCTTTGTGCCTATCGAAGTGTCTTGAGAAATCCATCAAGTACTGGCCTGTACGAGGGGCTCTGATGGGTTCTGACACCTTCCCCAAGCTGCACACAGACCTCCGGAGGGTGGGACGGTGCAACAGGCATCCCGTGGACCCATAGCACTGTGGCTGGCTCCTTTGTGGAGAGGCAGGGGCAGATAAAGGCTGGGGGCCTTCCGGTGGAGGATGTTGTGGGCAGGAATCTGGACACCAGGTCATACAGCCAGGGGAGGAAGTGAAAGGGTGGCTAGTCAGCCGGCGGTCAGCCGCAGTCCCCCGCCCCCTGGTCAGAGAGGCCCAGGGCCCAGGAGTGGCTGCGGGGCACTGTGGGCTGGTGGCTGGGAAGGAGAGGGCAGTGGCCTTTGTGAGGTGAGAGCCCTGTAGGGGGTGGTTTGGACCTTTAGGAAAGCTGCAATCAGCTGTTTTTGGGGGGAGGGTCACAATTCCTTATGGTTCTTCCAGTCAGGAGAACTGATAAGGGCCAAGGCAACCAGGGAGGAGTTTGGACACCTGTGGGGCCCCGTGGCCAGCACCTACCACCTGGCTGCTCTGTGGTGAGAGCTCGGCCGGTCCTGCCTGACTGGGAACAGCCTCCTGGCTTTGGGCCCTGCCAGGACGACTGGCATGAGGGTAGCTGCAGGAATCTTGGTGGAGAAGATTCTGAAGCCTGTAGGGAAGGTGGCTCACCCAGGCCCCAGGCCCACTTGGGTCTCCTGCCCTGCCTACCACCTGAGCCCCTCACCCCGCACCTCCCCTCCCAGCCCAGCGAGGGGCAGGGCTTGGGGAGAATTGCTGCCACCCAGCCTTTCAAAGAGAAGCTGGCTGCTAGCCCCTCGGGAGGCAAGCGCCTGCCTGAGAGCCCGGTCTAGGGGTCTCCAGGAAGGCGGAACCCCGCAGGTGGGGCGTCTTGGAGCCCGCGTCCTTGGCTCTCCCGCGGACGCGGGACTCCGCAGGCTGAGCTCTTGGCCAGTGACGCAGAGCGCGCTGCGGAGCGGGCGGGGCGGGGGGGGGGGGGGCTGCGCGGGGGGCCCGCCCAGCCCGGGGGGCGGGGGTCCCCGCGGGGCCCGCTGGGGGGACCTGCGCAGCGGCGCGAGTGACGCGGGGACACGGGCCCGCTCTGAGCAGGTACGCCCCCCACCCCCACCCCGCCCCGGGATGGACAGCACCGGGGTGCGGAGACAGGTAGCATGACCGGCGCGGGTGGGGGAGGGGAGGGTGCGCGGGTTGGGAGGAGGATGTCCCAGGATCCAGGGGCGCGGGCTGGGCTGCAGGCACAAGCGGCGCGCTGGCTAGGGTGCGTGTGCTACCCGGGGCCGGGACCTAGGCGCTGGCCGGGGTGCTGATGCGGGCGCGGGGGCACAAGCTGGGGCGCTGCGGGGGCGCAGAGTCCGGGCCAAGCTCCGGGGTGGGGTTGCGGGCCTGGGCGCAGGCCGGAGCGTGAGGCGCAGGGACCCAGGCTGGGCTGCGGCAAGGCCAAGCGCAGTCTGCGGGGGGCGCCTTACCCAGACCTGGGAGATCCGACCACAGGGCCCAGTGCTGTTGGGTGGCGCTTCCTTCGTCCCTCATCCAGTGTATAGCTATTTATAGTCTCAAAAGTGTTTTCGCAACCTGGATTTCGGAGGGTGTCTGACCTGGGGAGCTGCAGGGAGCAGGTACACAGCCTAGAAAGAGCAGCAGAGACGGGGGTGGTGGGGCCCCCTGGCCAGCCTGGGCTCCGTAGCCTCACATGTGAAGTCTGTTGGTTGGGCCTTTCAGGCTGGGGTGGGTGGGGTGTGAGGAGGTGGCCCTGTCTCTGTGAGTTCTCCACGTCCTGGCCCCATGTGGCTGCTATAAAGCACGGTCCTCGGGCTTTCATCCTTTTTGGACCTGGTGTCTAGTCCGGATGCTGCCAGGGGCACCGTCTTTCAGCGCCCCCCCTGGACTGCGGGAGGCGGGGATGAGGGGTGCTGCCTGGGCACAGACCTGCTGTGGGGCCCCCTCCCCGTGCACCTGTGCTCATGGCCCGTGGCCCCTTCTGTCCTCTCTGCTCCTGAGGATTGCTCAGAGCAGCGTTCAGATTTGGACATCCACCCCGCTCAGGCCCACCCGCTCCGTGGAACAGCTTCACGTTCCCGTCAGGGGCCTGTGCCGAATGACACTTATAGATGGGCATTTTTTTTTTTTTTTTTGTATTTCGGAAACATTTGTAGAGCTACCCTGATCTCATATATTTATTATAATTAGTGTCTCTACCATTACGCTCTACTTTTTGAGTCCACTGATTGTATTTTGGGTTTCTTTCCTACCTTTTAAGTAAAAATTTCCAAACACACAGCAAAGTGGAAGGAGTTTTACAGTGAGCACCTAGACGTGTACTTTGTGTGACGGTACGTGCAGGCCCGTGTGCCGACACCTTCTGTGTAGTTTCTGTGTCTGCGTGCCTGTCTTCTTGGAAGCCATTTCCTTTCAAAGTGTTCTTAAGACACAGCTGTGCCATTGCATAAGGAGAATTAGAGCTGCGAACCAGGGTGACCACAACTGCTTTCGGGGGAAATGTGAAGAAAGGACTGATGGTCGGATTTGGGGGAGAACCTCAGAGAAGGTTGGAGGGGGGACTTTGTAAGATCATGGTCATCCCTGGGTTTCTAGACTCTTCCCGGGTCCAGACTGTGGGGGGAGGAGGAGGGGCGGGGATTCCAAAGTCTGATCTAAATCTCATCTAAGTCAGGGGTGGGGGGAGACCCCAGGTACGTTCATGCTGAGGCAGACTCCTCTCCAGCTGTGAAGCTGTCCCAAATGCAATGGTGGGGTACAGGGCAGACATTCCCATCCCAAAGGGGGGCAACTGGAAGGAAGGACCAGGGGCTACTGCATGGCTCACTGCGGGAATTCAGAGAACAGAGCCCAAGATGGGAGGGGTGCAGGGCAGCGGCGGCTCCTCCTTTGAAATCGTTCTGCCCCCCTCCCCGCACTCTGGGCCTGTGCTGGGAGGGCAGCCCCCTGATCTCTGAAATGCCAGGAGCAGCAGGGGTGGGGACAGAGCTTTTCCTTGGGCCCTTCGCTGTGACCTGAGGTTGCTCTCGTTACAGATGGACACCCAGGCTCTGGGCGCATGCAAGGGTCCTGGCTGGGGCACAGAGCGTGGGCGGTGGGGGAAGTGTGTAGATCTGCGAGGGGACCGGGCCCCACACAAGGAGACCTGTGCCTGGTCCTTTCAGACACCTGCCTCATTTCCCTCTCTGATCTACTCCAGCAGCCGTCCATGTTGTCCTTCCAGAACCTTCAGCCTCGTGAGCTGGAGGAAAGGCTGTCCTGAGGGGGCCAGGAGACTGTGGAAGCTGGAGTGGGAGCAGCCTGCAGGACGGAGCCCCCAACCCTGAGGAAAGCCGGCTCCAGGCAGGAGGCGGGCTTTGGGGTGTAGCCAGGAGGATGGCTGACCTGGGCATGGTCCCCAGTCTCCGGTGCAGCAACAGCAGTCTCTGCAAGACCGGGAGGTTGCAGTACCTGTTTGGCAACAGTACAAAGGTAGGATTCTGGGGGTCCGCAGGCCCCCATTGGCCGGGTCCACCAGAGCCCTGTGGGGCACGATGACAACCAGGGAGGGGTGTGTTCCCTGCCCGGGCAGAGGCTCAGTGGGGCTGGGGGAAAGGGGCCTGGAGAGAATGGTAAGTGGCCAGCTCTGTCCCCTCCCATGGGCTGCACGACCCCTTCATGTTCTTGGTCTGGTTGGGAGGGTGCTGGGTAAGCACGTCAGTCCTGTCCGGAGCCAGACTCACGGGAAGCCGTCGCCCCGATGTCCCTGATTTGACTGGGAAGGCCCTGAGCACCACCCAAGTCCTGGACCCGATTCCCGGCACAAGACTGTGCAGAAGGGCGCGTTTGGTTTTCTGGGCCCCTGGTCAGGTGGGCGGGAGGGCGTCTCAGCTGGCTGTCTCGCCAGGACGGAGGCAGGTGTCCAGACCCTTATCCGCCACGTGGCTCTGTTCCCGAGGAAGGTAGCGTTAACAGAGAACCTGGAAGTTCTGGGAAGTGATCCTCCTGCTGGAACCCACACCTGAGAGCCTCAGCCAGCCCCCCCATCCCAGGAAGAGGCCCCCAAAGCTGGACGGGGGCTCAGCTGTGTCTAAGGGCCGTGTAGGGTGTGCTCCCCCGAATAGTGTTGTGATTGCCCAGGACTCTCAAGGTGCCCTTTTTATCCTCAGCAAGAAAATCTCAGCTCATGGGTCCCGCAAAATATCAAGAAGAAGGAGTGCATGTACTTCGTGGAGAGCTCCAAACTGTCGGACGCCGGGTGAGTGGCCTGGCAGTGTGGCCGTGCCCACGGGGTGGCTGTCTGTGTGGCCTTGGGTGGTCCCGGCATTTCCACTTACCCCTGGAGCTTGCCGTGGGGAGCAGCTTCTCCCCGTCCTGCTTGCAGAAGAGGTGCAGAGAGCTTAGGTGACCCATCCAGGGTCATAATGGGACCCCTCTGCGGTGGTGCTTGGACTTGAACCCGGTTGGGCACCAGTGGCACGCCTCTAGAATGCTCTGGTGTGGCCGCCACGACCACCTCCACCAGCAGTAGTAGTGGCCACGGTGCCTCCACGCTGCAGGACATTTCACTCCTGGGCCACTGGTCCCCCATGAGTCGGGGGGAGCCTGCGGGCAGCTCTGCAGGAACCTCATGGGAGGCGTGGTGTGGCTTCGTGTTCCTTGAGGATGCTCAGAGCATGTCTGTGTTCATGCCTCCCCTGCAGCCACATCCTAGTCCGCACTGTGCCACAGACGGGCCACGTCCTTTCTTACTTCTTCCACTCCTTCTTTGTGGCCAACACTGCCTCTGCTGAGCAGCCCTCCCTGACTGCCCTAGGAAGTAACCGCTCCCTCCCCCACAGTCCACGTACCTGTCTTTTGTACCAGTCACAACCGCACCACGATTGTGTGGCTTTGTGGTGGCAGAGTGTCACTTTCTCTCTCCCCGTCCTGGACAGATATCATCCAGCTCACACATGTCGCATGACGCTGCAGGAGGAGCCTGTGTGGGAAGGCCCTCTGTGGGGAAGGTGGAGGGACGATGACATGGAGTCAGGCAGGAGTGGTCCCCAACAATGATGCCGTTCCTGGGGTCCTGCGGCATGCCCCGGTGTCGCCCTGCACACGTGCCGGGGTTCACGTCCTGCACACATGTCAGGGTTCACGCCCTGCACGTCCTGCACATGTGCCGGGGTTCATGCCCTGCACACATGTCGGGGTTCACGTCCTGCACACGTGTCAGGGTTCACGCCCTGCACGTC